TACTTGTCTGGAGTAATGTGGTGGTGCTTCATCTTGTGATACAATATCCATATCGTATTCATTAGGATTTGCTTCGACCATGTCGGTGGTTAGAGGGCCACAGTATTCTTCAGCATATTCAAATACAATTCTCCTGTTGAATTTTGTTCATTGAATAGATATACATGTTTTTGTTTTCAGGAAACTATGTTCCGCCATTTTGTAGTAGGCGAAGATATTGAATTTATATTTAGGGTTGTGAAGTATGCGACAGGGGCCCCAAAAGGATGTGATACAAGACCCCCCTTTCCATTCAATTTTTTCCCCAGATGGTGCCCATTCGCCATCTTGAAATTTTCATTTGTCAATTCAACTTCAAAATATAGAAATCATGCGTCAATTTTATTATCCCAAGTTTCAATTTTTTGAGTTGACCCGTTCAGAAAATGAAACGGAGGGTTAGGTATGTACATCTCGATGTACATTGAAGGAAAGCACGACTGTATATTATCATTTTCAGAATCTCCAACAAATTCCAACCAACTTATCCGGATATTTTCTCTACTTATTCAATCAGTAACCGCATAAATCTTAAAACACAGTCAGATCTATGGTTTTCGATAGAAAAATCAATTTGAATTTTATTCTTTGAAGAACATCTCGTTTGGTGATACTCGGATAGGTGTAGGACAATATCGAGAAAAGTTGTTGGGAAATCGATTGAAATACTGAATATATAGTAATATACAGAGTATTCCATTTGATATATCAAACTTGCTGTATGATAGCAGACTAAAATGATCAGTTGTCTGATTCTGTTTCACCAGAAACGTCTCCATCGGGAATCAGTCTGGAACATTCATTCAAATAAATATACATTCATTCATATACAACATCAAACTCACTATTATACTAACCTATACTTCGACATCTTGTAGAAATTATTGCGAGTGAATTATTCCAAACAGTGCGTTAAATCACAGTAAACAACTGTAACGCCTACTAAATTTAAACCTCTCCTAATTGAACGCCACTTTCAACATGACGTTTTATTGCTGCTCGATGGTATAAATGCCAAGCGATAATTTTTTTCACACGCAGTTATGAAAAATGTGAGATGAGGAATATGGTTCGGATATATAAAGGGCTTTTTGTTTGATGTAGTTGCCCTGTTTACATTTAATACAGGAAACGTCTGTTTACAGAGGCTGATAATGTTTGGATTTCATTCGCGCGAAACAAAATTGGTATACCAACCTACCAGCATTTTGCAATTCCGATCTTATCTCGATATTCACTTGGGGTTGGCAGTGTCTTGGATTGAAACCTCAACTACTTCATAAAAGTAATACCACAGGTAATACAAGGATATTCCGTCATTTGGAGTATAGGAAAAAATGGAATAACTTTGTACGAAGGCGTAGAAGGGACTTGCAATATGTTTTTGTTAATTCCGAGTTCGAACTCCAAATTAGTACAGGGTGTCTCTAGATTCCCTATACAAGCGATATCTCCGTCAAATATCAGAGAGGAAAGATAATAAATTGACATCGCTAAAACATGGAGGGACTGATTTCATCTTCTGAAAGGGTGGATGACAATATTCTTGACACCATCTGAATAAAAAGAAATTTCTGACATTAGTGTTTTATCCACTATTTAGGTGTAGAAAATAATGTTGGAAAATCAAAACTTCCTGTGACACCATCCAGAAATTTCAGGAATACATACTACTACTGAACTCCACAGGGAGTTGTAGCGAAGCACGTATTGAACGGGTGTGAATCTAGCCGCATCCATGCACAAATAAACAATGAGAAAAATGTACGTGTTTTTCAAAAAATGTCCACAAATCCAGTTGGATGAACTTTTTGAGGTTTGGACCAAACAAAATTGATTGCCCTTATCAGGATACGCTTTCAGTAAGTGTGGAAATATTTTGTCAGGACGTATAGGAGAAGTGCCAAAGAGTGAATTTTGGAGAACATCTATAACTTCCTCGAATCAACTTGTCAAAGTTTCTAAATAGCATAAATCGATAGCCCTAGTCGATATACATCTCAACTGATTAACGACATTTTTTGCCAGGTCGTAGGAGGGCTGCTATAAGGGGTAAATATATTATTATAATATTATAATTTTCGTTGAAAATACTCGTTCGAAATTAATGTTTTCATAAATACGAATTTTTATCAGTACCAGCGGTTCGAAAGAAATGGAATTGGAAAAACGAATATTTCTCTAACGATATGAATAAATATGGCTCTCGCCCAACATCTAATCATTTTTCCATTTAAATATTTAATGGGAATTCATCCCTTCGCATTCAGTAATTCCGGCTTTCTCGCCCCAACAGCGGCCGTGACACATTAGTGTTGAATGATTGATTATCTTGATGAAAAAGCAATTATTTATATGTATCGGCACGAGCGCGTACGTTAAATGACGTGAAAAACAAAAGGCTTTTTTAGGACGCTTTTCGAAATTAAACGCCGCTATCGCCGTCCATAATATGACAGAAAATGTGTTCAAAGAGTATGGACATGTCGGAATTTATCATCAGGATGTTGATTGGAATTCTTTTGGTGTCGAAAGTTGCTATAAATCCGCGAAATTTACGAAAATGTTTTAGTTTTTTTGCAAGACTGAATTTCAGATGAAAAAAAATATAATAGGTACACGAGTTTATAGTTCAATCTGATTGAATAAATAGGGAAATATTGTTTTTCACAGGGTATTTTAGTTACATCTGCCGAATAGTCTGAATAATAGGTAATATTATTCTCATGAAAATTATAGCAACTCCCATATAGATTTGAAACAGAAAATCGGTTTTGTACAGTTGTGTGCATGAACGTATGGTATGAACCTGCCTATGATTTCATTGAAAAGTAGTACACGTACACCTTTGCGCATTACTGTCAAAAATAGTTTGAATGTTGTCACTACTTGTCAAAAAAGATAGTCGTTGAATAGCCCAAAGATAGAAAGTATATATCTAAAAATTGTTTCAAAATTTTTCTTATCCATCATTCGGTTGCCCCCTTACGAGCAACCCTCAAAAGTCTTCAAGAGACTTGTGCGAGCAAGGTATGACGGGGGGTCTTACCCTCAACGTGTGATCCCAAACACTTTCTTAGGCCTTCAGAAAAATATCTGCGGTCATGGTGGGAATCGAACCCACCTACTGGCAATCCAGCGTGGATAGAATATTGACGCTTCAACCACGAGGCTACGCTGGACTATAGACACCCATTAATTCAACAAGAGTTCAATTTATTACCCTCACTCCACGAAAGATTGTTATTTTCTTAAATTCTAAGAGCTAATAGAGAATTGGCTTACTTTTCAATAAGATATCACTTGACCCCCTACGCTAAGAATGTCCTTCAGTCGTTATTTCAAAGTGATAGATTTTTTCGGATTCCTTGCGCTCGTTCTTTTATCTGTCTGATAATGTCAATGCGTTGAAAAAAATTTCACTACGAGAGATTCAAGACGGAAATCTGTGTAGTTTATGGTCGATTTATGCAGCAGTTTTAAGTCTTAAGTTTTCAGTCGTGAGAATTAAGTCATAAGTCTTAGGAAGTTCAGTCATTAGTTTTCAATATGAATGTTCATATACACGTGTCATAAACAGTCATGAGTTTCAAGTCGTGAGAAAAGTTATCCAACATTCATCTCTCACGACTGAATAATAAAAAAAAATCTATTCTGTGTTACCTCAAACATGTATAAAAGAAATGTATAATACTAATGAACAATGCAAAATGAGCTGATGAAGAGGTGATGCTTTTTTCATGACATGACAGTCTTTATGATTGCTGCATGAATCACCATTTTTTCCTTACGAGTTACAACTTGTTACTTGAAACTTACGACTCAAAACTTAAAAGACTTAAAACTGCTGCATAAATCGACCATAATACAATTATCTAGACAAATGAACATTCCACCTCGATTAACCTCCACTCAGTATATAAGACAATGTCAATTTACATTAAGAAGTAGTTTCCGACATTCCTTTGGTTTAGAACCAAATTCGGGAAAACATCAATGAGGTAACGGTAAAGTTGGGTTAGATTGAGTGAAAAAACCATTGTCTGCTTGAATGCGAACCGCATTTCTATACCTTTTCAACTTCAATTTCGGAATCGGTAAGTTATATTTCGGAAAAAGTAATCTCGATTTCAGAATTGGTTAGTTCGATTTCAGAAATGGTAAACTCAATTTCAGAATCGGTGAGATGAATTTCAGAAAAAGTCCATTCAATTTCAGAAATGGTAAGTTGTATTTCAGAATTGGTAGGTTCAATATCATAAAAAAATCCTTATATTTGATCGCAATGTTTCCAATTGCATGTGAGATTAACAAACCATATTTAAAATATTCAACTTTTCAAAAACAATTTAATCCACTGATGCCTTCCATCTGAATCGCTGGAAGATAGTGGCGTTGCACATGATTATAAGAATGCAAACACATTTGAGGTGTTATCATTTTTATTGAATGATCTGCACATTCTTCAAGACATCGCAGTCTGAATTCTATCTGGCTGAGCAATCTGTTCGGATCTCCAGCTATGACCCTTTGGCGATGCTCTTGCAAGAAGCTCTTCACTTCTGAGGCACCTCCATATATGTTCAATCTGATTCAACATAGGGCTCTCAAACACCGTTCCAACCACTGTAAACAATCTTCTCTTTTGCAATTACATTTCAAACATATAAAAGGATTTCATCTTCTGAAATTGAACCTACCAATAATAATTATGAAATACAATTTCTGAAATTGAATGGACTTTTTCTGAAATTCATCTCACCGATTCTGAAATTGAGTTTACCATTTCTCAAATCGAACTAACCAATTCTGAAATCGAGATTACTTTCTCCGAAATATAACTCACCGATTCCGAAATTGAAGTTGAAAAGGTATAGTATTCAAAGAGTATGTTATCCTTCTGATGTCTTCCCTTGCTAAAAATTTCCAATACCCTGTTTGATAACCGAATCTTGTTGCAGGACCAGACGGCTGTAACCTATTCATCTACCACCTACCGCAAGAATTCACCGACACCGATCTGGCGTCGACGTTCCTGCCCTTCGGTCCCGTGATATCCGCCAAGGTGTTCATAGACAAACAAACGAACCTATCGAAGTGCTTCGGCTTCGTGTCGTTCGATAACGCGCAATCAGCGCAACAGGCCATCCAAGCGATGAACGGCTTTCAGATAGGCACCAAACGGCTCAAGGTGCAGCTGAAGCGAGCCAAGGACGCGTCCAAGCCCTATTAGCCAAAGAGACGCGCGAGAGAGTCGGAGTGGGGGGCCGGCCACGCCTCCGAGCGCGCACTCGCTTCGACCAAAGCGCGCTCGCCGACAGGCCGGCCTATCGCTCGTCGCGCCCCAGCACCGTGCCAGTGCAGTGCAAATCTCAGGATCTAGCTGCTATTTTTATGAACTGTGAGATATTTTTACTAGTTAACTGCGGTCTTGACCCACCGCGCTCTTGTAAATTAAATGATGTATATGACGAATGACGAGGATGTTTCGACTAAATGTTTTTGTTTTTCCTTTTTATTTGGTATTTAGTTTTATTTGTCATGTTGGTCGACAGGTTCGTTTTTTATTTTCTGTGTTCGTGGCGTACGCGCGTAGACATACACACACATCCTCTGTTGTTTAGTTAAAATACCTAGGCCATATGTAAATGTTGAGTGATTTAGTTATGTTTTATCTCTGGAGTCTACAGTTTATTATTAGTATCCCTTTTATTTATATACATCTGGAGCATGTATTTGAATTGTACCTTTATTTTCTATTGTTATTAATTAAAACCAAAGTACAGACCAAACACTTCGCTCTTGTGTTTAATATTCGCAGGGTTTCTATGTATATCACTGCACATCGATGAGAACTCAAGACTTTTTGACCCGCGTTTTGACCAAATAATATCAACTTGATATCAACTGAGCTGCTCTCCAATACTGAAACTACTAAAAGCTACAATTATTAATGAATTGAAACTCCGTAGCTATTGACTCATTCAGTAGCTTACAATCTGAAGATTGATCTCGAAATTCAAGAAGTACTCAACATTTTTTTCTAGTAGAAGGAAATTTTGTTTGTGAACTCAGTTCAGAGAATTATAAAATTTTAACCATTTTGTCTACTTTTTGAGTACTTAGTGTTCAGAACACAAAAATTGGAAAATCATTAGGATTAGGAATAACTTGAATGGCGGCAGTCGATTTGGACCGAGCTCAAGAAACTGTCAAATATTTAGATCCGTTTTCATCCGTCTTCACTTATTCTATTTTTGTTAGTAGGTGTTCTCCAAATGCTATTTTCATTGTTCCGTCACGAACTATTTTTCACTCAAACTGATTCATATTTCATACCGGGTGACACGCTTTTGTGTCGAAAACCTCGATAACCGACACACAAAGTAATTTTTCATTTTTGTTTATTATATTGCCCGGCGTGTACTATGCGAGTTTATTCGATAACACAAAAGGAATCAGGAAACATCGTCAATAAACACTGATGTAACTAAGTGCATATCCGCCTATAAATATACATGGAGTATTTAGGTTTACGTATATGAAAAGTTGACCAGACTAGACTACCTTTCTGTTGTGCCATCGCATACGTTGAATTCTTGGCAGCCACACAATTCGGTAATTCATTATATTTAATAAACACATGAAGGCTTATCAGAAACTTCAATAATTATCAAACCAGTAATCTAATTCATTAAATACTATGGAAAGGTGAATTATGATGTTTTTAACATTTGTATAGCATACACAGCCTGCTTCTCAGAACGGAGTTATAATTTGAAAAAAGTCTAAGTTGAGTTCTCATTGGTTTACAGTCACTTGTGATACTCACACTTTTTTTAGTTAGTGTAGCCATTTTACCGCAGCTGTGTTTTTAGTGCTATAGTGCTGTATATCACGTTATGTACTACCACCTCTAGTGTCTACCAGTACTACTGTGTCATACCATTTTTTCTTTGATCTACCGCGCTCGGCGAGTGAACGCGTCTTGGCTTCTGTCTGTGTCTACTAATGTTATTGTGTCTTCATCTACAGTAAGTGGCTATCATCTACTAACCGTTTTTAGCTAGCACAAACTAGCTGCACTCACAAAAATTTGCTCGAATAATAATCATAACGTTATGCGATATCATTTCAGCTTTACACTGTCTGAAAAATACGACGGCTCTGAACTTAGCTAATAGATACTATTAATAGTTATTTAACCAACTAGTGTATTAATGAGGGCGATTAATGATCGAGATTATTTTAACGTGCGAGCGAAGCGAGCGCGTTAATGTTCGAGATCATTGATCGCCTTTTAATATACAAGTTGGTTACAAAATTTTTCCGTCGACTATATTTCTCATTTCTCCTGCGATGAAGAAAACTTGGTTCGCGAATTCATCATTTATCCGGAAACTGCTAAGAATCACCCAGTAGCCTTGTTACTGATATCAGTGACATTTGACATTTGTCGAAATGATCAACATAGAAAATAAATTACTTGTGCTAGAAAACAGAGATCACAATCGTGTCAGAAACTTGGAAAGGCGAACCCGTTAACGGAGAATCTTCGATGAAATCCATATTATCGATTCAAATGCAGATTCCGTAAGTTATAGCATAAACAATGAATGCACGCGGTGTATGTTTGGTTGCCTATAGAACAATCGTGCATTAATAAACAAAACGTTCATTAATAGGGGTCATTAATGAACGGTTTCATATACATTAAACTCAGTCGTTAATACGAGGTCGACTGAAAAAATAATAAAAAACTTGCTCCTTGCTATATATTTTGTCGTTATATCCAATGCAGCATTTCATTCATCACTATTTTAATTTAGAAAACACTCAGTATTAGTGGTATTTCTTTCACAGTCACCTGGTACGAACCCAGAGCTTACAAAATTTCTTATGTACAGGGTGGCCAACTAAGAATCCAGAGTTCGATACCTCTGTTGTCTTGAGAGATACAAAAAAAAGTTTTGCATTCAAATTAAAGTGGTAACCGAGCTTCACATTTCAAAATTTCTTAGAAATACACAGGGTGTTCCGTAAGGTCACAGCACATCAAAGCTATGTTTTTTTCATCGGAACACCCTATATTTTATTTCATTTTTGAATTCTCCCTGAAGATCTGATTTCAACGACGTATCATACTCAAGGTCTAGCAGTGAAAGTTACTGACATATAGGGTGTGCAAAATCGAGATTTTCCAAGTTCAGGATTTTTTTCTGTCGAAACTGTTCATTATTCGTCAAAACGGTTCACATGTCCCTATCTCAACTTCTCACTCACTATCAATTGGTGTTCAATTGACATTTAATCGAAACAAATTATAAATTAAGAATTTTTGACCACCTTGTATCAATTTCAATTGAACACCAATTGATAGTGAAAGGAAAGTTGAGACAGGGACATGTAAACCGTTTTGACGAATAATAAACAGTTTCGACAGCAAAGAATTTTGAACTTGAAAAATCTCGATTTTGTGCACCCTATATGTCAGTAACTTTCACTGCTAGACCCTAAGTATGATGGGTCGTTGAAATCAGATATTCAGGGAGAATTCAAAAATGAAATAAAATATAGGGTGTTCCAATGAAAAAACATAGCTTCGATGTGCTGTGACCTTACGGAACACCCTATGTATTTCAAAGAAATTTTGAAATGTTGAGCTCGGTTATTACTTCAATTTTGATACATGATTTTTTTTTGTATCTCTCAAGACAACAGAGAAATCGAACTCTGGAGTCTTAGTTGGCCACCCTGTACAAGAGATACAACATTGCAAAGGTCTGAGATACTTTCCCTGATCAATAATCTACAAGAATTCCAGGCAATCCTCAGAATCTTTCGAAAACGTCGATAAACGTGAAAAAAATTCACGAGAACGTCACGAAAACGTTGCTGATGCGTGAAAAATTTCTTGACGCATGCGTGACGTTTTTTTCACGACTTCGACGCTTTTCTACGTTTCAAAGGATTCGTGACGTTTTAGTGACATTCTCGGTACGTTTGCCAGCTAGTATATTCAAAATTGGCGAACTATTTTCTCTATAGTTGCAACTATGAATCAGGAGAAGTGTAAAAAAAGTGTTTTTTCCAAGGTGGCAGTTCAGGGCCGTCCTGATAAAAAAACGCTCAAGTTGAAAGAACTTATCATAGATTAGTTGGTTGGGTTGGTTGGTTGTGGTTGGTTTTATTATATTCCTGATATTGATACTTCACCTCTATGACCATCAGCTTTAAATAAGTGAAAATACCAAGAACCTATTAAATAATGATTATTGACATTGCTAATCATCTACGTTGATGTGTGCAATAGAGAAAGTACTAGGACATCGTTAAATGGAATATATACGACATTTCAGTCCAATACAATCATAACAAGCTGTCCTCCCAATTTACAGGGTGTTTTGTTATGAAACTGCAATATGAATAGTGAAGCATGGAGTTGAATTCAAATCACCTATTTCAAATTCTTGAGATCCTCTTCTTTCCAACATACAATACCTACAAGGGGATTGTTGACATGAAAGAGTTTCATTAAAATATCAACAAACCCTTTATTGCATATCAGGAAAGAGAGGAAACTTGAAATGGTTTCATTTTTACTGGATTCCATGTCAATAGGTAGCTGTTTTGAGTTGCAATCTTGCATCTTGATGTATAGATTATAGAATTGTACAAGGAAATGGATGTACACGCATTAATTTCCTCATGAGTAATAATAAATTGTCATCGCGTATGTTCATGATGTATTATGTATGGTCCTTTTAATCGTTCTTGGATTGGCATGTCTAATACCAGGTAAAGGTCATTCAGCGGCGGTTGGTCTCTAGGGAAATATTTTTTCTGCAGGTTTCCAGGAAAAAAATCATGATAAAAATACCCCTGGAACTCTATGGACATTGATTTCTCGTGGTACCTTTTTTTTCACATTTCCTCGAAAGCTGTAGTGAAAATATGCTCTTGAATACCACCGTTGAACGACATCAGTGAGACATTTGGTATATTTGCCTTAGGCTGCTAGACCTAAACTAGTCCAATTAGTCAAATTAGATATTCAACTTTGTAATGGTTCGCATCAAAAAAATGGTAACTCCATACCTAGAATCATTTCGAATAAAATATAGTTCAATCTTCAATCAACTAAAGGATTCTAGACATACCCTTTGGAAAAGAATTTTTGATCTCTGATTTGATTCTACGTGTTTCTGTTCCGTGAAAACTATACTAAAAGCTCCTGAACTTACGGGGAGGGGGGTTATTTTTTAGGTTTTTTTCACGAATATCTCATGAACGATTAGAGTTGTAGGTGAGTAAAAAACGGTTCGATAGATAAAAGAGCTCAGAAAATTTCCTACAAAAATGCCCTTATGGATTTTTTTCGTCATCCTATAATTTTCGAAGAATGTGTTCATCAAAGTCGTATTCATATGAAAATAACGATAATCGCAATATTCACAATACTTTCTCCTTCCACATTCTTTCACCCCAGAAAAAACTAAACTAGAAATAAATTGTAGGAAGTTTCCTTCGAAATTATTTCTCATAACTTTTCTATCTTTCATGCGTTGAAAGTTATAGCAATTCTTAGCACACCTCATAGGTTCAGGGACTCTCAAAACTTTCACTACCGGCCAGACTATTTGGAATTATTCACCGTCTATTCTGAACAAACGAGATTGACCAGATAGTTTTCTATCGGTTGAAAAAATGTCAATTTGGATAATCAAGTTTCTTATTCGAGCAAATTTTCGTGAGTAGGAGCTAACCGAACAAAATTCACTAACTATAC